GGATTTTTGTTTTTGTTTTTGTTTTTTTTTGGTCCGGTCGTGGGGCCTGAACTCTGGGCCTGGGCACTGTCCCTCAGCTCTTCAGCTAAAGGCTAGTGCTCTACCACTTGAGCCACAGCACCACTTCCGGCTTTTTTCTTTTTGCTTATGTGGTGCTGAGGAATCGAACCCAGGGCCTCATGCATGCAAGGCAAGCACTCTACCACTGAGCCACCTTCCCAGCCTGACTGTATGTGTTTTTAAATTTGTAGATTTATGAAGAGTTGGAGACATAGATTTATCTGGCTTGGTTTATATTTGTCTCTCCTATTTACACGTTGCTAAGAAGAATTTTGAAACTAGCATGGTTAGGCTTTTAATAGAAACTATTAGGATGCCTATAATACATTGAATATTTATGTACTAGGCAGTGTGGTGAGTTCTTTGCAATCATTGTTTTATTTCTTCACCATGTCAGCCAATGTCTCTGTGCTTTCATTCATGCATACTTGGTGGATGTCAAAAATAGGACAAGAGGAATTCATTGGCTAATCGAGAGCCATATCAATGTCAGCAGAACTTGGTTATAAACCCAGTTAGATGACTGAACTAATGGCCTGTCCTTATACATTACTCATATATAAATGAGATTTCTTTTATGAGGACACAGAGAAGAAAACAACACTAAGAGGTAAAATTCCAAACCTGTGGAGGAGTATGAGTTTGGCAATCAGTAAGCATTGTTTGTTGTTCTACAGCTTCTCTGTAGATACAACAACTTTCTCAGAATGTCTCTGCTTGCACTGCTGTGGGTGGTATAGTTAGTTCAGTCCAGTTCTATCCATTAGCAAGAGCCACACACACTGGCATACCTCCCCTTGGAGGCTTGTTACCAACTACAGTTGTCAATCTTAGGATCAAGTACCAGGCCCCAGATCACTCAGCCAAGGACTGCACTCCACAAACAATAGAATTTTTTTTTTTTCAGTGATAGAGCTTAAACTCAGAACGCGGGCACTGTCTCTGACTTTTTTGCACAAGATTAGCACTCTCTCCTGGAGCCACAGCACCACTTCTGGTTTTCTGGTTAATTGGAGGTAAGAGTCCCACAGGCTTTCCTGCCCAGGCTGGCTTTGAACTGTGATCCTCGATGTCAGCCTCCTGTGTAGCTGGGATTATAGGAATGAGCCACCAGTACCCAGCAAACAATGGAAATGTTATGTAAGATTGATGAAGGGGGCTATGGATATGAGCTTGTAGCTGTTTTTGAAGTGCAATGATCAAATTCTATCAAAAATGATGAGATTTTCAAAAAGTTTTGTTAAGGTATCAATGATTAAAAATTTAGGATCAGGTGATTAAAACTTCAGCAAATAGAAATATTTGCTAAGGGGAGGTTCTGGAAACACAAATATGAGTGATGAAATGTTGACATAGCTAGGGGAAATTAAAGCATATCTTTTCTACTGACCTTGATTCATACAGACATTACAACTTTATTATTAAGTAAAGTTGCATATACCAATTAACTAGTTTCCTTACTGTTTTCCTGTATTTCCACACTTGTATTGACCATGAGAGGGAAGATGTTAAGCATCCACACATTATCTATTAGATTATAAGTAAGATAGTCTTTTATACTTCCCTTCTAGTTTTTAGCATCCTCTTTATTCATGAAGAGAGAGACACACAGTAAATGACATTGCCTAATTACTCAGCCCTAATGTCAGCTGAAAAGAAGTACAAATTGAAGATTCTTCTATAAGCACAGAGTCAAGGAGAAGTAAATGTTATTTTTTGCATATCTTATATCTTAATCCCATCCTCTCTGGATCAAAACAATGGATTGTTATTATGAACTTCTGTGTCATTTTGTCCTTTGTTTCCATCTAGAGTGTATCAGCTGTACTTTTTCATTAAGGCAAAGATAAATACTGAGAAACACGTTTTAGGAGAGTCGGGGGAGGTGGGAGAGGGAAGGGTTAGGAGAAAAACAAAGGGGAGTAGCAATGCTCGACAAGAAATGTACTCATTACCTTACTCGTGTAACTAACCTGTCTGTGCAGCATCTTTACAATAAAATAAAATTTAAAAAGAAAAGAAAAAAAACCATTGTTTTGGTTTCTTACCAGCTTATCTCTCTTTTCATGAGAGTCCTAATCAACCTTTAGTTTAGGCCTATTTTAATCCTTCTTGGGATGTTAAACTGTAGAACCCTAATTAAATGGATGAAAGACTACAAAACAAAATAAGGGAGAGGAAGGATCAGTCCTGTTCATGGCAGTTGAATTTTAGAAGTGATCTTCTCGTCTTGTTAACTTACAATAACACTGTCTGGGGAGATTAAAGGCTTTTGTCCCCATGGTCCCTCTGCTGGCTAGTGGCCTAATACTTTAAAGTTGAAGTTACAAGTAGTAGCATTTTGATGTTTCCAAACATTTGTATAAGTCGTAAGTCAGAGAGAGGTAACATGTTATATAGGACTTGTGGATTCAATCTCATATTTATTCCATGCACACCAGGGACATACCTATGTACTCACGACACTACCATTGTCTTTTATATGGAAAATTACTTCTGGAGGTGAACAGCCACTGGAGCCAGGCAACAATGGGCCATTTCTCTTCTCTTTACTGGAGAAATGATTTCTGATGTTCCATTCTAGGCATTCTGACCACATCATTTTCTTCTTTTCTAACTTTAACTCGTGAAAATCTCATGGGATGAGGAACCCATTTTGAGAAGTGTGTCACAGCAACTTTTGAAATGTAAGAAGCTAAGCAATTAGTGTCAGCTTTTCTCTTGGGAGAAAAAGATAAGAAAAGTTAATGTAGACTACAGAGGTAATAATGTAAGGAAGTTCTGAACTAGAAGTACATCATATAAATGATTATTTCTAGCAAAGGAACCCCATCCTCTGTGGGAAGGCTTTACGTGGGAAATCTTTAAACTAGTAATAGTATATGACACTGCTTTCCATTCAAACTGAGGGCTTAAAGAAGTCATCACAACTTTTTTTTCTGTTTTTATCTCAAGTGTACTCCAAATGCTTTTGAATTTTTAAGTTTTTTGGGAAATTTACAAGAATGAAGAGTTTACCAAATGTAGTAAAAGAGGAAAAGAAAAATAATGCTCAGAGATACAATCTCAAGGTGTTTTGTGGATTTCAGAAGCTCATTGATTTCAGTTTTGTGCGATGTACACACAATTGGTTTCAGTGTAGGTTCAAAATTCACTAAACATGTAACTACCAGCCATCAATAAAGCAGTATACTCAGTGCAGAAAAAAAATGCAAGTCATGTCTGTAGAAATCATACATACATCCTGTGAGGAATTATGATCCCAATTTTTTAGATAAGAGAATCTCACAAAAACTATGACTCACCCATGGGTATGTGATGAATCAGTAGCATTATAGGGATTATAAATCAGATTATGGGATCATCACATCTATTGAACTTCCGAATAAAGTTAATTTACAAGAACAAAACCTTGAGGACATTACCTGATACATACTTGTAGACTGTTGCAGTTTCAACAATTGATTCATTCAAGGAAGAGTCTACTGCAGACTCAATAAGAGGAGATGATGCAGTTCAGGCCTCAGGCTTTGTCGTCATTTCTAAGTCTCAGGCTTCAGCTTCTTCATCTGACAAATCATGCCAATAAAACATATTGCAATACTGCATTGAAGGGAGGCATTTATTCAGGATACCCAACGGATAATACAGTCTTGGTAGCTGTTAATAGTAGTAATAGTGATTTTTAAAAAAAGTAAACAAAACAGTTAATGAGAAGTTCTCATGCCTATAATCTAACTACTTGGGAGGCTGAGATAGGATCATGATTGAGGCCAGCCCTGGCCTCAACTGATCCCCAGCTGATAGCTGGGCATACCGGCACACACTTGTAATAATCCTTGTTATTACAGGAATCCTAAAAAGGTAGATTACAGTACAGGTATGCGCCTGGACAGGAAGTGACACCCTATTTCAAAATCAGTGCAGTGTAAAAGAGGGCTGGAAATGTGGCTCAATCGTATAGAACTTTTCTAATTAAGTATCTTGAGTTCAAATGTCAATACCTTAAAAAATAATAGTACCATGTCCTGAGACATGTAAAGACATGAAAAAAATTGTATTGCTATCATTAAGGACTTGTGAGAAATAACGGTTAAGTACTATATAATTTTATGTGGTAATTTTTTTAGATATTTTAGAGTTTGGAACTGATTTTCAGGTCATGTCTGTATTTTGATTACTTTTGTTCAAAGATAGGGGTCTGAATTAATTCTAGCTATTTGAGGAGGCTATCTTGTCTTTTTTTAATTAGATAATTGAAAAATACATAACTAATTTAAGGGAGAGAAGCTTGGCTTTTGAAAATATTGCTTTTAAATGGTCTTTCAATTGTTAATGGGTAGAATCAGTGTTTGGATATATTATGCATACACATGTATCCAATTAGATTTATTATATTAAAGTAAGTGAAAGTTTTTCAAAATCTAATCATAACTAAAGTTTCATTTTTTCCTGTAGCTATTTTAAATACTTCTCTATACTTCTTGATTAAGAATCATGATATGTTTAAAGTGATAACCTTGAATATTTGTCTAATTCATAACCATGATGTAAACAAAATAGAAGCTTGTAAAAAATGTGAGTTGTAAATTTGCTTATCTAATCTGTTGGGAGAATGAAAGAGATAGAGTCTGACTAAGAATGACCTATCAATCCAAGATAAACTAAATTTCTGTTGCTGGAAACTGACTTTTACATCAAATATTATGTTTATATTAAATAGGATTAAATGGATTCAGAAAAATTCCACTTGTAAATTCAGTTGTATATTGATGTTCATGTGTTCTAATTTATTTATACCACCATCAACCTTATCATTAATTATCATCCGTTAGTAAGTAGTGAATCTGAAAGTTTTAACCTTTAAATCTAAAATGATCACTTTTGTAGCAAAAACTTCTCAATTCAAATTGTAAATTCATTGTCCTTTTTTTCCTCAGATGATGAAACATGCTTGGAATAATTATAAACGCTATGCCTGGGGATTAAATGAACTGAAACCTATATCGAAAGAAGGCCATTCAAGCAGTTTGTTTGGTGAGTAGTGAAAGCTTTGATTTCCTAGTGACAGTATCTCCTTTCCAGTTGCCTGAACGTATGGGTGGCAGAAAAGTTTGTATGATACAGTGATTCTCCAGGCTCTCCATCTACACCTGATGAAGTTATCTTCAGGTACTGTATGGTGTGTCCTTCTGATAGAACTGTGGCTGCATGACAGAATGACCTGCGTAACTTTATGACACACTTCTGAAGAGTCTGGTGTAATGGATATAGAGTGTAATATCAGGATTTCTAGTGCCACAAATAGAAAATTCTTTACTCAGTTGCATTTAATTGCATCCTAACAGGTAAAAGCTTTGTGTTTTCAGTGTGTGTGTGTGTGTGTGTGTGTGTGTGTGTGTTACTAGAGTTTGAACTTGGGGCCTCACACTTGGTAAGCAATGAGCTGTGCCTTCATCCCTTTTTGCTTTGGGTTGTTTTTCACATAGGGTCTTTGCTTTTGTCTTTCTATGTCCACCAATCAAGTAGTTGGTATTACAGATAAGTGCCACCACACCCCGCTTGTTTGGTTGAGATAGAAGTTCCCTAACTTTTTTCCCAGGCTGACTTCAAACTGGGGTCCTTCTGTCTCTGCCTCTCAAGTAGCTAGAATTATAACCATGAGATACCATTCCCAGCCAAAAGCTGTGGCTTTATAGATAAGCTAGTCAAGGCAAAGGTTTCCGATGTTTATATCTGAAAAAGTGAGTATAGATTAGGCCAGTTACTTGAACTTCTGTTTATCTGTTCTTGCATGCTGAATTGATCATGGCAGCAACCTTCTGTGATCAGTGTTGTGGATATTAATGTTCCTATTATGTAAGAAAACTAAACACAAAGGTTTGATGGATTCCTCGGTCAGAGACCTACATGGTACCCTTTGTAATTAACTTGATTTCTTCCTGGCCTACCCCTCAAGGATGTTTTGTTTTGAGATACTAGGGCTTGAATTTAAGGTGTCATGCTTGTTAGGCAGGTATTCTACCACTAAGCCACACCTCCAGCCCTAGTGTTTAACGGGTTCTTTTTGAGACAGTGTCTCACTTCCTGCCTAGATTTGTACTAGAACTAGGATCTTTTGATTTTAAGCCAGGAACTGGCCATGTGCAGCTCCCCATCAAAGCTGGGTTGGCAAACAGGTATCTGTTGCTTCCTGCTTCCATCTGTTGAGATGGAATGTCATAGATTTTTCTCCCTGGGAACTATAATCCTCCCATTCTTTTTTTTTTTTTT